TTAAAATTCCCATGTTATTCTTATGGAGAATGAGTAAACTATTGTAGTTTGCTTGTTTATGAACATATTTTGATCAAATTTGGAAAATGTTTTTATTTCTTACTAACTATTAACATTTTACAAAAAAAAAACAGTTTTACCCTCCCTGATGCAGCAAACCTAAGTACTTGTTAAACTAATTCTATTTAAATCGGGAATAAATGCTATATTTTTAAGTAGACAGTTCAGTGTAAATCCAATCAGTCAAATGGAAATTCGCTTAGTCTGCAGGTTTGCTGCGGCGGGGGTATTTTTATTCTATCATAGCCTATACGATATGCATTTTAGATCCGATAATTTTACAATAAAACAGCAATTCTGCAATTTTTGCGATGTGAAAAGCGTTGAAGTGAGATTTGCAGCCGATTCTCACAGACGCACACTGATTATAAGTAGCCCACAGTAGAGAGAGTAATAGTCAATTAAGAAGTGTATAGACTTAGTCAACGATACCACCTTCCATAGCATACCTGCCTCTTCCATAATTATTATCACCATAATACAACTACTTTACACAATTCCCTGTAGGTCTGAATAGAAACGACCTAAAATAAAACGATAATATCCAATAAAATTCACAGTACACATAAATCGTCACACCTATCCTTTATATCAATTTCACTGCATTAATTGCTAAATAAATAAGTGTAAACAAAGAAAAGTAAAAACAATAACAGTTTGTTTTGAAACAGCTGTTTGGTTCAAATAACATTGATTTGAAAAGAAAAGAACCCACGATTACTAAAAGAACTGGTCACATGTAGCAGGAATATAAGAAGCAAACACGCTAGTAAAGCTTATGACGTAATTGTCAATGTTTATTATCCATACGGTTATCAGGTCCATCCCTAATAATTACCCACCCTCATTGAATAAGTGTACATCGTAATTTCCCATATTAGTTAATTTAAACTACAATATATTCATAGTTGAAATAAAAGTGATATTTTAACGTTTGGGGGCGCTGATAGGCACCCCCAAACGTAACCACACTGAACACGATTTCATAAAAGGATGGTTTGTCTAATTGCAGTATCCTAGGTCAATGTTGACGATGTGTTCAATCTTTGTATAAAACTCGGCTGAGGTTGTGGTGGTAATTTAAAATCGTAATTCCTGATTATTCTTGATCTTCTTTTTATGACATCAATATTTCCGGGCCAAATCCTAACAAAGCTAAAGCAGACAAACATCAATTGTAAACAAAAAGCGACCATGAAGAATTAAAACATGTAAACATTGTTATTTTTCTATTCTTTCCTCGAAAAGTGAAATAGTAAAATAATTTACATTTATCCTTTTTTATTAAGACTCGTGTACAGAGCCTCGAATTGTACTGTGGTTTAATTACTTTTTGGTTAAAACTGTGTTCTAATTATCTCTACTAATCTTACTTATTTCCTATGCATATTTAATTAATCTGTCACCCTCTTACAGAAGAATTGAACGTATCAATGATTAGCATTACACATAGTATAAATAAGTCAACCCTAAGTATGTCTTTACATTTTTATCCAAATGCTGAATTTGTGACACAAAAGCTGAATATTTACAGCTGTTATGTTAAGCAAATTATTTTATGCCAAAAGCTAGTTTAGAATCTTAGCGTCGGCTGCTAGACTTTTTAAAAATTAAAACCTAATTTCTAAAAAACTGGGACCCTAAACTAAAATTATGGCTTCGACATTCCCTAGTTCTCAAAATTATCTTTCTTTCAACACAAAAATCATGAAAAATCCGTCGAGTGGTTGATTCAGAATGGTGAAATAAAAAAACACTGTTTCGTTTTAATATTATAGATATAGATTAAATATCCAACTTCCTAATTATTTTATATGGGAAATGTTTATACAACAGTAAAATTGGTCATATTGGAGTTGTTACAGTATAAGAAGCCCACAAGGAATTACAAAATAAAAGAAAATGAGTGGGGTGAGATAAAATAAGGCCCCCAAACAGAATTGTTAAAAGAGAACTGAGACATGAAAGTTAAAGTGAAAAAAAAAAACGTAAAGAATAAGAGAAAGATCAAAATAACATAACATGGTGAGGTAGTAATAAAGGTTTACAGGAGATGAATCAGAATAGTAAAAAGAGAGAGGGTGAAAGGTAGGGTTCACAATAAAAAAGGAAAACCAAGATGCAAGAGACAGCTAAGTAAAAACATATTGACGATTGCGTAACCGTAAAAAATATCAAAGAAGTAAATGTGTTGAAGAAGATTGAAAAAAAATTACGATTGTGTTGGAACATAGCTGTGGGTGTAGAAGAACGGAGGAATAGAGAGCGCGCGCGCGTGGTTGCAGACGGTCACCCAACCATAAGGTGTACTTTTCCAGACCCGACCAAGGGTTTAGTTCCACTGATCAACCATAAATTGAGAGCTGCGTAATACATTGTTGAGCAAATATGAATTGGCGTTTTCCAAGAGTGTGAAAACCTGTGGTCCACCCACATACTCAAACTTTCCCTCGCACAAATTGCTGGTTGACATTTGCAGAGTGACGTGGCTAAAGGTAGTAAACGGGAAAGGTTATGATTATACGGTGATAAATATGCAGAAGGACACAAACATGACACACACTGTAAAATGCATATGTTTATGGCAGACGCTACACTCTTTTAGATTTCTTAAAATCATTGTACGTAATACAAATATTTTATCACAATTACACAACAAACACAGTACATTCAAAATTATTCCTTAAAAGAAGGGATAGTTAATTTTTTTAAATAATCGGTTTTGTTAGGAATGTTTAGATGGAAATGCTAATCAACTATCTCTCAACAATTATTTAACGTTTATAGCGTCTCAAATCAAATGTTTCGTGCGGTAACCTTTATTGAATGTTAAGAAAATTAGATTCCTATAGCAGATTCAAATTATTGTACACAATAAAAACAAAATATCGTATTTTAAACTTAACAAATATTTGACAGTAATACATGGGTGGACGAAGCCTCTGAGGAAAAATCAACTAAATCATATGAAGCCAGTATCTTGTTTAAATAATCATCTTCATGTTGTATAAGTTATTTCATGATTTTACACGAACTGCGAGTAACATCACAACAGTCAAGATAACACACGAGACATTTCCAAACGACACGTTCGTCGACACAGTGACATTTCGCATTGGCCAACTCCACACTTTCCCACAGGTTAACAACCTCTGATGCAAGCATGTGAAGATGTTCACTATTGGCTACCGGACTTGGCTACATGACGGGTTGTTGAGCCTGCCTATGCAACTGACCTATTGGCGTGAAGGCAGGCTTTCCAAACTTGTCTGTCAAGAAAGGCAAGCCATCAAGTCTGAGAATATCTGTCATCTAGAGGTTATTTTGCTAAACAAATCTCAGTTGTTTTTTAGCGAACCTAGAACATTTTTATCGTATAGCAGATAAGATTTTATTGCCTGCGTCCCTACAGAAATAGTCTTCTATGTACCTAAGAAGACTAGGGAGCTGACAAAAACGTTTAAACGCCTTTTGTTCATCACTTATAGTATTAGCTTCTCATTTTCCAGACGGGAATGTTTAATTGATAATTTACTCTACCCAATTGGAAGACCTACCCAATCAGCTTCCCTTTATGGAGTGTCTGCTTTTGGAAAATGCAACTTTACCTTATCCGTGCTCTGATTTGGATCTAAATGCACTTTCCATCAGTGTCTGCGACAGTTACTTAACAGCTGTTTTGCCGGTTATAGCCAATGACGTAACTGCCGCCACGGCGCGAAGCCAGCGTTGCTCCCTTCCTGTTCCTGACAGTAGCTTTCTCCCAATCCGGGGATAAGCCTGGACCTCCTGGACAAGTAGGGTCCCACGGGATCTCTGAAACACCTTTTGCTTCAATGAAGCTCATTCCTCGAGTGGCGAACAAGAACAGACAATAACGTCTTACATCAATTGGTCATTGTTTACGTTGGTCGAATGAATGAAAATGAACTAAAAATAAAAATTTCTTATCAAACCATTGATATTAAGTGGTGATACTTCTTTGCAAACCACGAGATTACATTGAAGACGAGAAATTAGTTGTTCTGATTCGACTCTATACAAAGTTTGCTCATAGCTTCACAGGTAAATCCGCAATTTTTGCGATGTATTTAAATACTAGCTGTACCCGCGGGCTTTGCCCCGTTTAACTTCATAAGTATTCGCATGGCTCATTCACGTCCTGGTGCTGCGCTCACTTGCCTTCAGGTTAGCTCGTTCGCTACGCAAACTCGCCTCCAGGTAGAAGTTCGTTCGCTACGCTCACTCACCTTTTGGTTGGAAATTAGCTGTTATCACAAATAAAAAAAAATAATAGTGCTGCACCCTGTTGGTAATCCTTGTAACATTTATGCTATTGAACATCATAGAACAACCAACTTGATTAATTGAAACAGCTGTTAAGATTCATTAATTCCTTTTAAATATGAAAAACCATAAGGTTAACATGGGGAACTACAGAGCCTCTGGGGCGGAGCCCGAAAGGATTTTTGGGATAATAATATGCTTTAATGTTAATCGGGAATGTGAGTTATCATCATGCCAAATTTCAGCCCAATCCGTCCAGTAGTTTATGCGTGATTGAGCAACACATACACACACAAACACACACACACACTCACAAACTTTCAGATTTATAATATTAGTAAGATATGTGATGACATTTTATTTTCATAGCATTTTGTGAAACACTTGAAACTGTAGGCCTATTATTAGCGATTGTTCATGGTAAAAAATAATTTAAAAAAATTATAATTATTGACCCTTTATGAATTGTAATTCCGATAAAGTTTCTTTAGTAAACCTATTCTTAGTAGCTTAAGTTTGGTAAAAAAAATGTATTATAAATATTGATTATTTCCCGTTCTTTGTTCTATTGTTAGTTGACAGGAAACATCCTTCGACTGCTAATTGGTCGGAAATGATCACAAGAAGCAATAATTAACTATTTCTGTTTGCAGGAGATGGAGGATCAGCCGCAGTACCAGCACTTGGTAGACCCGCTGCAGTCGGATGAGAGCGTAGCTGCGGATAAGCGAGAGTCTCTGGTGCCGCCCCCACCCGCCCAGAATCTCCAGCAAGCCGCCCAGCAGCCTGATATGGCCACCCCTATTCAGATCAAGCTGCCACTCACTCTGGACTTCGACGATCTCGCTGGGGTAGGTTAAGATTTTAGGAAAACTTAGTCTATAATACAATGAAGAAGGGGAAAATTTACAGAACTGTTGTAATCCATGGTTTTTGGTGTCTGAACTTTGATGAGCCATAGATTTGATCTGTATAAAAAAAAAAAAAAAAAAAAAAAAAAAACTATCCACAATAGACTATACCTCGTTTTCAATGGGAGATATTTTAGGGGATTAAAAAACTTGCATTATTCTTAGTAAGAACAAAACCTTTACGGAATCAGCCAAGTGTTAGATTATGTTTGAATTTATTGATAGGAGGCACACCAGGTATAACTTGGAATTTTTCACATAAAATTCCAGATAATGTGTCTAACAAATCTACTTTATTCAGTCCTAAATTTATCTAGGTACCTACATGACGATTCTTTACAGTGATGTTAATATGGAAATGTATATTTCATCAACTCATGAACCAGCTGTAAATGAAATCTCTTCCACAGGCTCTCGTGGAGAAGAACCAGAGGTCCAGGATGAACTGCGTTGTAGAGAAACGTCGTGCCGAGGAGGTGATGGACCATCAGCCCAAGACTGTGCGACTACCTTTCGGCGTGAACCTGACGACTGACCCGCGTTACGAACACGTCACTGGTGAGAGGATGGCCATCTTCTGCGAGAGCGGCAACGACCAGAGGTAAGAATGTGGTGAGAGGTTTCCCTTTGTAGGAAAGTACAAACATAAAAATCGAATACATGAACCTGGTGATTCAGGGAAATGGACTTTGGATTTGGGAGTAAAACACTTTATTTGGCCCTTCATTTTTTGTCACATGGGAATCACCCTTTCTCCAAACTTTCGTATAGTGCGAGAAATAAAACGACCTTCATAAATCATAATACTATGACAAGTCTAGACCTAACTGTCACCATTATTCTACGCAGAGCCAAACATAATATCTTCAGATAAGTTCATTTCATATTATCATAATAATTCAGTTGTAGTTTAAACAACATATATTTTTACAGGCATGTTCCAGTAGACAACAGCATCGCCACCCCCGTCGTCGTGCCAGTTCCCATCCACCAAGAGGCGATGCACCTGATCCCCATGCCAATGCCCATGGGTTCCAACGGTCCAATGTTCCCTCCCCACGGTCAAATGTTCCCTCCCAACGGTCCTATGTTCCCTCCTCATGGTGGACCTCCCCCTCCCCACATGATGCCACGTCATCCTCAGCAGATGATCCACCCACCGCCACCACAGCACTACCCTCATCCCCACCCAGCCCAGACCCAGGCTATCCCTCAGATGGCTCACCCGGAGATCCCAATGTCTATCCTGACCCGTATCGCCCAGGAAGAGGCGGAGTCCAAGGATGACTCACCGGTTCACATTATCGCCAGGGAGGAGATTATCCCGGTGTTTCACCCAGCTAGTCCCGAGGGAAGGGCGATGAACCTCCCTCAGCACCCTGCTCCCGTCCCAGCGGAGATGGTGCAGCCACCCCCACCGCCTCCACAGTTTGCTAGGAGTATGCAGATGCCACAGACTACCCAGCTGCACCCGGCCCCACCAGTGGAGCAACAAACAAGGCCACATTGTAAGTAGAAGATCTCGAGATGAGGTTGGTATAGTGGCACAGCCCTTTAAAGGTCTATGAACCTTTGTTCAAGTACCACCATCTAACTATGGACAACTAATCATGTAACAGTTCAGTGACCCTTTGGTTTGGAATTCATCTTATGATTACATCTCATCCAACAGGGAGAAATTAAGTATCTTATGTGTTGTTGATCTGAAGTGTCGTTGTATCAAAACCCCTTCACGTCGTCATATGGTAATTTATTTTAGGTAACAACCTGAAACGTCATCTGCAGAATTAAAAAAGGAAATAAAATTCGCTTTCCTTCATGGGTTGTAAGTACTGACTAAACGTGGGGAAGAAACTACAATAAAATCTAGTTACTATTACAAGTAATCTGTTTAGAAATCGAGTGGGTGCTCGATTAAGACAACCAACGAAATCTCCAAACATTGTTAGACAAATAATAGGTCTGGACAAATAATAGGCTAGGGAAAGCTGCGACAGGGACCGTAGCGCTGGACGTCACACAATGGTGGTAATGGAGGAAACAGTGATGGGTAGGGGACAAAGGTGCTCATTACAGTTTGACAGAGAGGTGGCCTTTCGCTGACCTAGTGGACGCCGTCCTCACGTCCTGCTGTCAGACTATGGGAGAGACTCAGACTGTCACCAGCGATGTAATGTGCGATGTGTTGGTGGAACCCATTGTTGAATCGGATCGGAATGCGAGTTGTTTATAAGTAAACCACTAATACTGAAAAAGGAAACCAATAAAAGAGGTCAAAAGAAAGAAATCAAATAAAAAAATTAAAATAAATATAGATACTGCGATTACGTTAAGAGGAGTGTGAAAGTATGTATACAAAATAAAATTACAGTAACAATTGATTTAATTCCTACTAGATCTGTACAAAAACAGATATTTAGAGTTTTGTAAAGTAATTTCAAGCAAACGAACGGAAATTGATTACTACAGCCCTACTTCAAGTGACTTATCATCTTACTGAAAATCTAAAGCCTGTTTGGATCAATTTGGCTGCCAATACCAAAATTATTATGCTCTACGCAAATGAAGGGGATGTAAATGAGGTTAGGCTAGGTTATGTTGTGTTAGAAGTTGTTAGGTTGGAAAGGGAGACTCTAGGTTTAGCATAGCGTATTGTTGTGATTGATGGCAAGGCATACGGTTAGGTTAGTCTAGGTTCGTTCCCTTACGAAATTTTAATAACACAATTCATTTATCTGTATTACATGGACATACATTGACTGTTACTAATTTAAATAATCTCATTTTGCAAACAGCTAGATAAGGTCCGATTTTCAAAGTGGCAGCCAAAATTTTAGGAAAAAACTCCCCAACAAGGTTCTTAACATTTTATCGTTTAAATTAAACTAGAGGTCGTCCAGTGGTCGAAAACTCGACCAAAAATATGCAATGTACAGATTTTTAAAAATATGTAATGTAAAGTATTATTGTGCAAACCTCTCTATTTTCACCCCACGCTGTAAATAAAACATGTGATTGGAATTTCTTCCAATTGTTTTGATTTTCTGTTTGTATTTTGTTGTTATTTCGTCACCAGCATGGCAACCCATAGGACCCACGTTAAAGTTATATACGTTTTAAATCAAACTCTTGTGCTTATTTCTGAGCCTATATTAATTTATTAAGAGATTCTGCACATCTATATGAATATATCTTTCAAACAGTATGCGTTGATTTCCCTTGACATGCACACGAGCTGAGAAAAAAGGTTTTAAAGAAACATGCTTGCCTATTAATATATAGATAACTCTCTAAATGAAAACATCTAATATTATTTCAAAATGTGTTTTCTAGACGTGCAGCCCAGGTCTGTACGCAGCGTGGAAGATACGTTCCTGAAGAGAGAGAAGAGAGTGAAGCGTTGTGCATGTGACTGCTCATGCTAGACGCAACTGACCAATCAAACTTGTACATTTGTCATGACGTCACACCCTCTACATACGACGCATGCGCACCCACTCGGGCTGTGTTTCTGTTATTAATAGATTTCTTAATAAACTTCTATGTTATGTTTTCTTTAACTATGGTTGTTGCGTCTTTAAATCAATCCCTTATAGTTGTATAACATCTTTTACCCAACCCTCCATGTCAAACTTCCTTATCCCAAGTTTGATATAAACAACTTATTTACTCACTTGGTGAAGTAAAGTTTCAAAAACTCACTCGGTGAAGTAATGAAACCCATTCCACCAGCTGTTGATTTAGCCAGGGTTCTCTATCAACATCCAAATGTATAAGAACAGCTGATTCAAATTCCTAATCATCGAAGGCTTCCAACATTTTTATCATGGGTCCGAAACCCTTTAATTTACCATATGAGTACTGTATCCGCACAAGCTGTAGCATTCTTTGATCATTGAACTTGTATTAAGTATTCCTGTTGACCTTTTGATGAAGAAAGCTATCGTCCCATCCATTCCACACCCATTATTTCCTCATATTCCCTTAAAATACACATCCTAGTTTGTTGATGTCGTAGAGTTTTAATGCAATATAATTTTGTACACATAATATAATCTTACTGTACTGTTCTGTGTAGTATTCTTTGGTTTGTTTATAATTTGTAGGTGATTTTGTTGCATTTTATGGTAATCTGTTGTCTACATACATCGGACGGAAACATTATGAAACATTCAAGTAAAGAAACATACATAAAATGTTACATGAATACATGATTTTTGAAAATCCTAAATGAGCAAATAATAGGTTTTTGAATGTCTGTTTAGGTGTTTATTGTTTACTTTAAACTACCCTCAGATGATGTAAAAAGTCATACCTGTAATGCAGAATCATCCAGTAACATTATAATGTTGTTGAAAAATTTTGAGAGGTCTTGATTTAAACTCTACTTTCTAATAGAACACATCTTTGTAGGGGACAGCAGCCTAGTTCTTGATGGAAATGTCATAATTATACCCCTCTTTATCTGTGATTCTGCGAATGGTTTGATATTTATCCAATATACGGTTTTCTTTTTCGAAAAATTAGACATAATTTCTTTTTAGAAGGGTCTATTTATTATGGAGCCGAGCTTGTTTCTGTCTACGCGTTCTGAACGTAAAACTTTCTGACTGGACTGAAATTGCCATTTTACCCAAAGAGCGGCCATGGGCCTCCTGCCAACACATGACTATCCATGTTCTTAAAATCATATCGGGCTTTGTTTTTTGGTCACTAACAATGTTGTGGTTTTTGAAATACTCCACGTTCTATCCTGGAACCGTTTTCCACATCACTTCAGGCTAGGTCTAGAGGGTGTTGTGGCACTATCACTCAAAATCCATTGGTGATTGGTGCAATTTAAAGGACCTCGTGGACCAAAGTGCCGCACTCCACTAGTAGATCAGCTAGCTCCTGGCAATGTAACTTTAGAGGGAAAATGATAAGAGTAAAACGCTATTTAATTGCATTAATATTTCAAAACAATAATTTTATTGTTAACCGCAATATTGGATATGAAAAAGTGAAATAGCCTATCTGTTTGTTTAATTGCATAATTAAGTTATCCGTTTAATGTTTCATCTCTAAATCTAATAATTAATGAAAATAGCACACTTAAGTTGTCTACTATGTAGATTGATGTATTTGTAAGTTCTTGGTAGGGCAAGTAACCAATAAAAAGCCAAATATTTCCCACAAATTTTATTACATCAACGAGTAAAAATAAATATGTGTAAATAGGTATAAATAAATATATTTATCACAAGAAACATCTATCACAGAGATCGGACGCATAACAGGCAATGGAGTTGAGTCTAAAGTTTTACATTATAGTCAAACTCTGTTTTTAGGAGTTTTCTGTAGAATACCTCCTTTCAATGAAGCCAACTCGACTATAATGCAGTGTTGCGTATGTGGTAGAACAGTGTAGTCTGCAATGCCACATAGTAACTGACAAAATGTCTGATCTTAGTTTAATCAAACAAAACTGGTGTCTTTAAATGTAATGAGTGGAGCTGAGCAATGGCCTCTCTTGGTAGAACTTCCGCCTGGCCTTGGTAATGGCAGGGACTCCTGGAAAACACAAAAATGAAATATTATGTGTAATGTTACTGGTCTTAAAAAAATGTTAACAAATAGTTTATGGATTTGTTCATATTTATGTGTTTTCAAATATTAAATGTTACTGCGATACGTATGGGGTTAGGACATAAACCACCTTGTACTATAAGAAAGGAATAGAATTGTATTTTCAATGTTAAGGTAGTAGCAAGCTTTATTATACAGACTGTCCCAAAAGTCCCGGACCGGTTTAATATTTTCTAAACGACACCAGATAAATCAATAAGATTTGGTACATCAACACCACACCTAAAAATCTACTTTTTTAAGGACATATCAATTTTCTGTCATATCATGGGGACGTCCCGCAAGGAGTCAGAAGGAAATCTTAAACAGAAGCATAGGTTGACATGTACATCAAATTAAAGGTCTTTACTAGCAGAATATAATGCCGAAAATTTGAACTCAAAGGGACAACCGAGCCAAGAATGACAGTGGTTCAAAGATTCATTTAATTTGCATTGCTATTATACGCTTTAACCTCAGGGGGCACAGCCCTAGGAATCGGAACATTTTTTTTAACGTAAGCATAGGTCGATATGCACATCAAATTAAAGGTCTTCACTAGTAAATTACAATGCCGTAAATTCAAGCTCAAAAATAACGCCTGGGTAAAAAATGGCAGTCGTTCAAAAATTCAAAATGGCTGATTTAAGAAATATTTGAACGGCTGGCATTTTTTACTCAGTTATCCATTTGAGTTCAAATTTGCGGCATTATATTTTGCTAGTAAAGGTCTTAAATTTGATGTACATGTCAACCTATGCTTCTATTTAAGATTTCCTTCTGACTCCTTGCGGGACGTCCCCATGATATGACAGAAAATTGATATATGTCCTTAAAAAGTAGATTTTTAGGTGTGGTGTTGGTGTACCAAATCTTATTGATTTATCTGTTGTCGTTTAGAAAATATTAAACCGGTCCGGGACTTTTGGGACAGTCTGTATAAATTGTCCCAGTTGGATTAAGCCACTGACTGATTGTGCTGTACTAATTTATGGCAATTATGTACACATCCCAACTGAGCAAATCAGAGTAGTAGACAATTTATTGCAATCAATAGCAGTTTTTGAGTCATATTAATTATAACAGCGACACAAAATACACAGAGAATAGTGTTTTAGACTGTAGCACATTCAACATGGACATTACCATGTGTTTGGAATGGTACGTTCTTATAAAAGAATTTATATTAAAAGAAAATTGGATACAGCTGGTCCAGAAAGATTAGATGTCTACTCCATCATATAAAAGTCAGCGATGAAACTGAAACTGCTAGGCGATGGTCTCATTCTCTTAAAAGTCCCTCTTTAGTCGCCTCTGAAACTTGGCGACCTCATCTCATTCCCAAGTCAAAGCTGAAGCACCTACCTCGTGACTTTCTAAAGCAACTGCTGACGCACTTACCTGACTGTTGTGACTAGAGTAGGATCTGACTGCTCTCAGATGCAGCTGGTGCAGCAACCTCGCCACGGTCGCATCTCCGGACTCAGCTTCAGGCAGCAACTCAGTGCCAGTCGGTCGGCGAAGTAGGTCCGGTGTCTCACTTATACCTGCACATTGGCCTTTGTACTTGGAATTTACGAAAATAAACAATAAGTCGATACAAGTATTGATTACGGACATTTGATTTTATGAAATTTGACCAGTGTGATCTAGTAAGTATTGAACATTCAGACACAAGGTACTTTGATGCTAAGCTGAATTGGTGTAGTATTATCAATCATACTGAAAGTATATGGATTTACTACAAACTGAAGTATGATGATAGTAAGTTAATCATTTTTAAAAAGCTAATATTCTACCAACCTAAGTATAACGAGTATGTTATAACATTTTAAAATCATATTCTCAATTAAATCATGCAGTTCATTTCCAACATTGTATTCGAACACATCATACGAAATACAAACATGAACTCAACTGTATGGACATTAAAAGAAAACGAAAGCTCCAATTTACTCAACTTTAGAGATTTGAGTTTTTTGTGTAATAATTTTCCTCGTAATTGAGCAATGGCTTAAAGTGGCTTTAAGCCGAAGCAAAACAATGACTTGAAACTTGTTTAGACCCATTTAATATTTATGGAATCAACATTTATTTTGCTGATTTTTCAAGGAAATTGTTACACTTAAACATCAAAGCACTTAGCACATCTACAATCTAACGAAATCAAAACATTGACAAATCTGGCTACTAAAACGTTATCATGCTTCTTACAACAAATATTATTTCTGGAAATAAGGAAAATAAATAAAACAACAAAGTTACATGATGACTGCAGTAGTTTGCCGTACGTTCATTGCTGAGGCAGCCAGTCAGGACTGCTTGTAGACGCTCTAGTCGCTTGGCTGGGTCCTCCCCCACCAGCCAATATGTCAGCATCTCTCCCTTGCCCTAAAAATCGAAAAAAGTAACATACTAAGACATGAAAAGGTAGAATTTTACAAGTTCCCTTCTTCTTAATCTAAACGCAATGTTAAGAGTCCTTGGAGGCTAGCGGCCATCTTGGATACATTCAAACAGCTGCTGAAGGACATGGTGGAATAGAAGTTTTATCGTCCAAAAATATTTTTTCCCAAACACCAAAGTGATTATAATTTAAATAGGTATATAATATACTGTGAGATTAGTAATGTTCTTTGTAGTTTTAAATTGTTCTCCAGGGGAGTTCCCCGACTAACTTTGCCTTATATTTACACCAAAAACGTTATATTTCAGTTATTGTTTATCAGTTATTTTTCTTGGTATCATTTGATAGGGAATGAAAAATGCAAAAAAAATATCCTTGACACTTTTTATAGAATTAGCTGTTTTTGAGTTATTTAAGTTATACAAATTCAAACGGCCGCCATTTTAAAATTTACTATTGGACCAGCTTTATTATTTTTTTCTTTAATAGGTCTTGTGTATGTTAACATGCTTGTAAAATTTCAAATTTGTTGAATGAAAAACTTCA